GCTGATTTTTTTGTAATGTGCTTTTGATTCAATCCTGTTAATTTCTTCTCTGATTTTAATTATTTCTCTTCTCCTACTAGATTTGGGTTTGGTTTGCTACAGTTTTTCTAGGTCCTTGAGATGCGCTGAAAGTTCATTTATTTGGTACTTTTCCAATTTCTTGATGTAGGCACCTATTGCTATAAACTTGCCTCTCAGTACTGCTTTTGCTGTATCCCATAAGTTTTGATATGTTGTGTTGTTATCCTCATTTACTTCCAGAAAGTTTTTGATTTCTCTTTTGATTTCTTGAATGACCCAGTGTTCATTCAGGAGCATGTTGTTCAGTCTCCATGTGTTTGCATACTTTCTGGGCTTTCTATTTGGGCAATAGTGTCAATTAAATATGCTGTTTCCTTGTTGATCCTCTGTCCGGATGATCTATCTATTTCTGAGAGTGGAGTGTTGAAGTCCCCCAGTACTATTGTATTGGAATCTAAATCTCCCTTTAAGTCCCTTAACATATCTTTTAAATAGACCGGTGCCCTGTAATTAGGTGCATATACATTTATAATAGTTACATCTTCCTGCTGAATTGAACCCTTATTCATTATATAGTGTCCCTTTTTGTCTCTCTTAACAGTTTTTGTATTAAAGTTTAATTTGTCTGATATTAATATGGCTACACCTGCTTTTTTTTTGGTTTCTGTTGGCATGGAATATCTTTTTCCAACCTTTCACTTTCAGTCTGCATGCCTCTTTGTTAGAGAGATGTGTTTCTTGTAGGCAACAAATACTTGGGTTGTGTTCCTTGAGCCAATCAGCCAATCAGTGTCTTTTAACTGAAGAGTTAAGACCATTAATGTTTAATGTGACTATTGATACGTAGTGACTTTGCCCTGCCATTTTCCCGGAGATATTTTCTAGTATATGCTTTGAGCTTCCCACGCTCTTTTACTGGTGGTTTTTCTTCCTTTACCTTCTTTCATATTGATGGCCATGTTTCTGAGTGTAGCACATATTTAAGTATCTTTTGCAGGGCCGGATGTGTGGTGGCAAAGTATTTCAATTTCTGTTTGCTAAGAAAGGTCTTTATTTCACCTTCATTCACAAATGAGAGCTTAGCAGGATATAATATTCTGGGTTGGCAATTTTTCTCTCTTAGCACCTGTGCTATGTCTCGCCATTCCCTCCTAGCCTGTAGTGTTTCTGATGAGAAGTCTGCTGTGAGTCTGATTGGAGATCCTCTGAGAGTAATCTGACGTTTCTCTCTTGCACATTTTAGGATCTTTTCTTTATGTTTCACTGTGGTAATTTTAATTACCACGTGTCATGGTGAGGATCTCTTTTGGTCATGTTTATTGGGGGTTCTATGAGCTTCCTGTACTAGGATGTCTCTGTCCTTCTCCAAACCTGGAAAGTTCTCTGCTAGTATCTCACTAAAAAGGCCTTCTAATCCTTTCTCTCTCTCCATGCCTTCAGGAACTCCTAGAACTCGAATGTTGGTTTTTTTAATAGTATCCCTGTAGATTCCCAACAATATTTTTTAGATTTCTAATTTCCCTCTGTTTTCTTTGGTTTGACTGTATGTTTTCCTGTGCTCTGTCTTCTAAGTCCGATATTCTCTCTTCTGCTTCACCCATTCTGTTTTTAAGGCTCTCTAATGTGTTTGTCATTTGATCTATTGAGCTCTTCATTTCATTTTGATTTCTCTTCACTATCACACTTTCCTGCTCTACTAGTTTCTGCGTTTCATTTTGATTCTTCCTTCAAATTTCATTTTCACGAGAGAGATTTTCAATCCTGTCCAATAAGGATTTCTGTAGTTCAAGGATTTGCTTTTGAAAACTTCTAAATGTTGTTATCATAAATTTTTTGAAATCCGTATCTTGCATTTCTTCTATCTCATCATCTTCATAATCTTGGCTTGGGGTGTTTTGTTTATTTGGAGGCATCATAGTGTCATCGTTGATCTTGTTCCCTCGATTTCTGTGTTTGTTGCTTGGCATAGTTAATTCTTCTTTCGTCACTGTGCTTTTTTTTTTATGCTATGTCTGTGTTAAGTGGACTGCCTGCTGTTGGAGGAGCCTTGGAGGTTTGAGATGGGTGTGGCCTGAGAGCTCTGCTTGGTTCTTCCGGTTACGGGTGTGCAAAGGTGACACCCTCAGGTTATGCGTGGTAAATCCCTCTCTATTTATTTATTTATTTATTATATTCATTTTTTCAGGAGGTAAGTAATACCGCACTGTAAGGCTATGCAGAATTGATGGTATTTAGCTTCCAGTCTCTGGCTTCTACCCAAAGAGTCTGTGCAGGCTCTGTTTCTTCTCTGGACTCCTACTGGGTTGCCTAGGCTACTGAATTGTAGTGACTCAGTTCCTTAGCTCTCTCCTGTTGTTATGTAAATCCAGAGTGGGGGCCTGCTCTTTGTCTCTTGAAAACCTTGAAAACTCTTGCAAACTCTTGCAAACCTTGCAGCCTTGCAACCTTTGCAAGGTTGGGGGAGAGAGAAACCCCCCACCTTTTTTCCTTCTTTCCTGTAGTCAGTCTGGTGCACTTTCCTGCTCCCCTCTAGATTCTGACTGCCGTTTCCCCACCAATGTCTTGGGTTACTGAGCTCACCTCCCCTTCCAGCACCAATGTGTGGACTCGGAGCCCTGGGCATCCCAACTCTCACTGCTGGTGTCTGTGTGACATCCACTCCCCTTCCTGCACTGGTGCACAGACCCTGCGGCTCCCGCGGCTCGGCTTCCACGTGGTGGGCGACCTTGTTCTCCCAGTAGGTCCTCTGAGTCACAGCCACTAGATCCAGAAGAGTTTCCTCTGCAATTTTTTCCTGATCCTTTTTCTGAGGCTACCGTAACTCCACTTTCATTAAACTAAATTTTCCAAGACTATCGGTGTGTGCCCTCACTATTCCGCCATCTTGGCTCTGCTGAAAATTCATTTTGTTTTAAGAACTGTTTCTGAAAACTGTATTTTTAAAAAAGTAAACAATATTTTAATGGGGAATTACTATCCATGATATAATAAAATATTTTCTGGAATTCTTGATCACAGTTTGAAGCAAGATTTAATTTAAAAAGTGACTAAAGGTGGGAAATAAGGCATACAAAAAAAACTATTTTTAATTTTTAAATGTATCTATATCTTTAAGCATATCAAATGCAAAATGAGATTATTGAGAAAACACATGGTAATAGAGAATTATTAGATTTATTTCAAAAATTCTTATTGAATTTTTATAGGCTCTCTAAACTTGATGTAGCAATCTATTTTTTCTGGGACCACGTTTGTTCCTTTCTCCATTCCTGTTAGCATTATTTGGCAAAAGTTGAACGTTGAGGTACACATGAGAGAATTATTACTCAATTTTCCTGGCCAGTTTTAGGTAAGAAATCAGGAAACAACCACAACCACCACAACAAACACCACTTTCTCAAGAGCATTTGCAGATCAGTTCTGCAGACTTCAAATGTATTCAGGTTTGGAATGTTTAGACTACTGCTCTCATGCTAAATTCTCTGAGGCTTTCTTTTTATTTCTGAATTGCTTTTTACAAAAAGAATGCAGCATAAGGAACTGACAGCAAAATACACTGTTCCCCAGTGCCAATTGTTTGTATTTATATTGCAAACATCATATTTTCACCTAAGTATCACTTACCTCAAATGTTAACTGAATAGTTTTATAGAATTGTTTTTTAAGATTTATTTTCTTTGAGAGGCAGAGTTATTCTACAAAAAGAAATAGATATCTTCAATACAAGCATAATTTTTATTCCTTCAAGTGATAGAGAAGTATGTTTTGTACCTTCAATTTGAACAGGATCTCCCCAAAATTAAATTAGATATATCGTTTACCAGTGTGATAAAATGTATTTCACAAAGAGAAAATATGATACAAAAATATAATTTACTTTATTTCTTGAATATTCATATATGTCTTGCTAGACTAAGTTAGAGTAGAATCAACATGTTTTTGTCAATCTAATCATTCTGAAACAAAATCAAATAATGAGTAATTTGGAAATGTTTATGAATTATTTTTCTGTTTATTTCTATGGAGGAAGGAGGAATGATGGTAATGTTTCCAAATTATTCTGGTTAAATGTGGAACAGTTAAAAAATAACATGATATAGTTGTAAGTAGGTCTTAGGCATCCAATGCATGAGCAACCATGCATGACACAAAATGTATTAAGTTAATACAATCCTTGACTTTTTTTTTTTTGACAGGCAGAGTGGACAGTGAGAGAGACAGAGAGAAAGGTCTTCCTTTTGCCATTGGTTCACCCCCACAATGGCCAGGATCCAGGTGCTTCTCCTGGTCTCCTAGGCGGGTGCAGGGCCCAAGCACTTGGGCCATCCTCCACTGCTTTCCCGGGCCATAGCAGAGAGCTGGCCTGGAAGAGGGGCAACCAGGACAGAATCCGGCACCCTGACTGGGACTAGAACCCTGTGTGCAGGCACCACAGGTGGAGGGTTAGCCTATTGAGCCACAGCGCCGGCCTATAGTCGTTGACTTCTGATACCTGTGGTGTCCATTCCAATGAAGATTCTGATTGGCTAGCTCATGGTAACATCAAGGACTCTGGTTGGTGTGACTTTAAAACAACTATTGGATTGATTCACATATGTTAAACATAAATTTTAAAATATATGACTACTTTACTTATTAGTTGTGGCAGTTAGTGTTACCTGTTCCCTTTTATCTTTGCTTTGTAAAACACACAAAAACATTCATTTGCCATATTCTTCAAATTAAGAAAATGGTTTACTGTATGATGATGTTTAGATTCTCTTTGATCACCCAAGGATTGATTTTTTTCTTGCCATAATAAATCTACAAATGAAAACCTGTGATTCATTAATGATCTTGATCTGAATTAGTACAGAGCAGATGAGTCTGGGGCACTCTTAGATATGAATATTAAAATCTATAGAAATTAAAGAAATCACAATGGGGAGACCAAAATTATTTATAAAGGATCATTTATTAAACATTTTTCACAACAAAGATGGTTGTTCTGCAAGAATACATCACATATTAAAAAATAATGTGTTTTTACTGAATTTAATTTGAAGACATTCAGAATTGTTTTGTCTATCCCCTTGGGGAGCCCATTTGGCTTTGCTCCTTGTCTGACACCATTTCTAAGAAGGAAGAAACATTTTCTTGTTAATTAAGTCATATTCATAACAGCTTTAATTTTATAGAAATAAAATCACAGTGTCTGCCACAACAAAGCTCTTTCCACAAAGTAACTGATTTGCCTATGATCCTATTTTTTTTTTCAAGCTACAAGATAGGATAAATCAAGGAGGAGCTAGGTAAGTTGTATAATAATGTATTAGCAGCAGTGATAGTAAATGCAACATAACGTTTGTTTTGTCTGTGGTACAAGAATATGTCGTATTAGACTACTGTATTTTTCTCTACTTGTACACAAGTAAGTGCATACGGATTGTTTCAGAATGACACATGCATAAAAAGGCAGGAAGCTGGCCTGGCTGGCATTATCAGCACCTATTTTCATCAGCTAATATGAATGAATACCTAAAATTAGTGAAGACAGGAAAATGACTTAAGGAAAATATATACAGAGTTAAACTACATCCTTTTAAAAATCTATTTGAGTGACTCAGGCACTTTGGCTGTTCAGGATAAAATGTCTTATGTTTTATTCTTGATAGCGATTTCTCAGTGCAAGCAAAAGCAAATACCTGCCCACTGTCATAAACATGAACTTGTACATTTGAGAATTTAAAGCAAGTTCATCTTCAATGTTTTCACTCTGGAGGCATCTCGTGTAGAAATGTGTCATAATTTGTTCTTGGTACCCATTTAATTTTTCAGTGCAAGCAAAGGCAAATACCTGCTCACTGTCATACACACAACCAAACATCTCTGGACTATTCAAAGCAAATTCACCTTCTGATTTTCATCACGGAAGCATCTTTGATAAGTGGCACTTCCTTCCTCTATAAATCATGCAAAACAGACCCATGATGCCTGAATTTGATAATATTAAAAATCATGGCCATGGCCATCTCTTTGTGTAAACTCTATTGGGTAAGGCTTGCCATCACGGTGCTTCTTTCCTGAGGATGGAGCTGGTCCTGTCTGTGTGGATCATAAGTGTGCATGCTCGGAGCTGTGGTCACTGTTGTGGCTGTCTTCATTGTCCAGAGAGTCCCCTGTTTGCTGGAGCGTGGCCGCACCAATCCCTGACAGCTCTGAAGGGAACAGGGTTCCTTTCTTCACATTCACCAGTTCCTTTTCTCAGGCAGCAGTGCCCAGCTGGCCCAATTTTACCCTCTTCCTCTTCATCTGCCTGTTCTGGAACCACACTTTCACCTTGGACAAAGAAAGGAAACACACGAAGCAAAACAGAACATTAAATTCAAGTGCTTTCTCCTTTTGGTCTACCTAGGAGAACCAGATTCTCAAAGGTTTACACGAAGACACCATGGAAGAGGGTAAATATAAAAATAATCCCACCCTGAGTTTAATCAGGTTGCATGTTCATGATAATAATTTATAAACATTCAGAAGATGCACACAAATGATTACCTTTCATATTTAACAACAAAGGGAATTCATTGTAGTATTACCTCCCAGTTTTTGCTTTGTGGATTTAAAAATTAAAAATCACAATAATAAAGAGAAGTAGACAAGAAAGGGCTTATCATTCAAGATGTCTCCAAGGTATTTGGTTCTGCTCTTGCATGATAAACCTGTGATGGGACCTATGTGGATACGTAGCCAGGAGCTTCAATAGGTTGAATGTTATGTGAATGTTCATCTTAACACACTAATGTGAAAAAAAAATGTTTCCCAAGGTTGTATCAGTTTAGTTTTCTTATTCATTCCAGGGCATAAAGGTTCAAGTTCACCCAAATCTTTGCCGGCATTTGGATTTACCAGGTTCAACTTCTTTTTTACAACACAATGACAATAAATGTTATTTTACTGTGCTTTTATTTTGCCTTTCCTGTTTTCTAATGGAGTCAAGTATCTTTGAAGAGTTTAGGATCCAGAGTTGGTGTCCATGTCCCATGTTGTAGCACCAGGAGTCCTGGCTGCTCTGTGTCCAATTCACTCCCTGTTGCTGCACCTGGAAAGTGCTGCCATTTGGGGAGTGAGCCGATGTATGGAAGGCCTCTCTCTCTCATTTCTCATAGATAAATTAACGTTCTTTTTTTAAAAAATAATGGCCCACTGTAGTGCTTCTATAAAATACCTCCCTGTATCTGGTATGAATTCTTTTTAAAATTAATCTTGCTCTTTATGGACTTTAAAATGTCTGAGTCCTAATTTAATACCTTCAGTTGTATGGAAGCTACTATCTTCTCTGTTTGTGCCCTCCCCTTTTCTTGGAGTATTTGTTGATGATCAGAAGCTCTTAATGTATTTACATTTACACACTGTTTCTTTAATGGTTAGAGCTATTGAAGCATACTCTCTGCTGAGGCCACAAATGTATTCTACATTTTCAAAGAGTTTAAGGTTTGCATTTCAAATTGAACCTGTCAAACCAGGAAGTATTGATTTTAGTATACAGAGGAAAGCAAATGCTTCCATTTATTCTGTGTGAATAACAAGTTATTCTTGGGGCCAGTGCTGTGGTGCAGTGGGTTAACGCCCTGGCCTGAAGTACTAGCATCCCATATGGTGCCAGTTTGAGACCTGGCTGCTCCACTTCTGATCCAGCTCTCTGCTGTGGCCTGCAAAAGCAGTAGAAGATGGCCCAAGTCTTTGGGCCCCTGTACCCATGGAGAAGATTGGGAAGAAGCTCCTGGCTCCTGGCTCCTGGCTCCTGGCTCCTGGATTTGAATCAGTGCAGCTCCAGCCATTGCAGCCAACTGGGAATTGAACCAGTGGATGGAAGAGCTCTCTCTCTCTCTCTCTCTCTCTCTCTGCCTCCCCTCTCTCTGTGTAACTCTTTCAAATAAATAAATAAATATTTAAAAAGAACAAGTTGTTCTAGGTAGCTTTTTATGAAAGTCACCATTTTCTCAGTGATCACTGTTTCAATTCCATCATCAATAAAGCTTCCATGTAGAAAGTGGCTTCAAAAAGCTCACAGAAAATGGAATTAAATGATAACTTCTTGTGTTCCAAGAGGTTTCTGAGGGTTTTTTTTTCAAGATTAATTTTATTTATTTGAAAGTTATGCTAATGGAGACAGAGAGAGAAACAGAGAAAGAGAAAAATCTTCCATCTGTTGGTTCACTCCCCCAAACAGTCAGATGAGCCCACAACCACGTCTGGGTCTCCCATGTAGGTGGCAGGGAGTAAGTACTCAGGGCATTGTCTGCTGCTCTCCCAGGTGCATTAGAAGGGAGTTGAATCTGAAGCAGAGCAGCCAGAACTCAGACTGGTGCTCCACATGGGATGCTGGTGTTACAAACAGAGGCTCAGTGCCCTGCACAACAGCACTGGCCCCATCCATGAGCTTTTCAAGGCCCCTCCTATGCACAGCTTTCTGCTCTACTCTGTTCTGTCCCTGGGTCAGTTTTCACCTGTGAGAGCATAATATTTTCATTCTTGCTGTAATTTTATACCAGATCTTTGTATCTGATAGGGACAGGTCTGTTTCACCACCAAATATATTTCATTCTTTACACCAAATATATTTTGAATGTTCTGCATTTTCATATTTGAAATAATCTCAATTTCTGTTAATACACAGTGACAATGGGAATGTGATGAGAAATAACTCAAATTTCCAAAGACATATTTATGTCTGTAACCTTCAAATCACATGATTCATAAAAGTATAAATTCCTTAGACATTTACACAATTAAATACTGAAATTGAGATGATTCTTAACTAGGGATTGTCACTGCTTTCACTGCTGGGTTCAATTAACATCATGTCTCATTTATTACCTATCTACACACTAGTCCATTTGATAAAATAATACAATATAGTAAAAATTTGATTTAAAGTTCAGTGGTGAGGGGTCAGCACTATGGCATAGCATGTAAAGCTGCCACCTGAAGTGCCAATATCCCAAATGGGTGCTAGTTCAAGTCCTGGTCACTCCACTTACAATTCAGCTCTCTGCTATGGCCTGAGAAAGCAGTGGAAGATGGCCCAAGTTGTTGGGCCCTGCACCCATGTGGGAGACCCAGAAGAAGATCTAGACTCCTGGCTTCAGATTGGCTCAGCTCTGGCCATTGCTGCCATTTGGGGAGTGAAATAGTGGATGGAAGACCTCTCTCTCTCTCCCTCTCTCTCTCCCTTTTTCTCTCTCTCTCCCTCTTTCTCTCTCTCTCTGCCTCTGCCTCTCTGTAACTCTCTGCCTTTCAAATAAATAAAGATTTAAAAATATTTGATGAGAACTGACATATTATTACTGCTTACCACTCATAAGGATCACTGCATGCATCATGTTACAGTATATGTGCTACATGTGCTTTATTTCTAATACACTTTCCCCTCATGTTGTGAACATTATTTCTATGTTATAAATGAGACAATTGAGGTAAAGTTTACATGAACATGACACAGATGGAAACTCTAACCCCAGGATTTAATCTAACAGCAGGATTTAAACACCTATGTCTTTATCTGGCTCCAGAATTGGGGTTTGTTTTTTTTTATTTGAATTCTATCTCAAACTCCTGTTTTTAGAGCATTCAGGATAAGAAGGTAAAGTACAGGACTGTGAAATGCATGAGCACCATCCATATGGTGACTCTCATTCACGTAATTCCTCTATTTGCTGTGAATGGGTTGGTAAATGGGGCGCTATTTTCCTGCCCTGTACTTTAGGTAATTACACTACTCAACGTAATCACCGTTTGAGCTTGACAGTGCAGGTTGCATTAGATCTGTTGCACATGAGCCGGGTACTACTCTTGGCTTCACTTCTGAGTTTTTGTGTGAATTTGGGAAAACCACACTTTTCTCTGTCTCAATTTTCATATTTCTGATATTGGAATAATGAGGCTTTCAAGATTCTCCATAGGGATATTTTCTCCATTGACCATTCCAGATGGAAACAAAAAACAACACATAAGTCATCATCATAATCACTGTCACCAAGACTGAAATGTTCATGCAAAATAATCTTGACAGGAAACAAAAAATGGGAGGAATAGAGTTATTGAAATCCATGTTTATGTACTTCTCTAGGAGAGGAGGTACAGTAATTCTGTAATACCAGCATCCATCTGTCATGTAAAATTTCATGTGAGAAAATTCTAAGAAGAAGGTATGGATTTTAGGAATACGACTTTGTATTTAAAAGAAAGTATGTCCGTTGGTTTTCTTTCTCACCATATGACATTTTACCATTTAATTTTTAAAAATTATTTGTTTTTATTCATTTGAAAGGCAGAATGAGAGAGTGAGAATGAAAGAGATTATCTTCCATCTCTTGGTTCACTCCCCATAACCACAGGAGCCAGGAGTGGGCCATACCATAGTCAAGAGCCAAGAACTCCACCTGGGTCTCCCACCTGGGTGGTAGGGACCCAAGTAATTCAGCCATCAACTGATGCCTCCCAGGGTGAGCATTAGCAGGAAATTGTATAGGAAATGGAGGTGTTATTGGAATCCAGGCACTTTGCACATTTGCATTTAATGTGTATAATATCTGGTCTCCTAGGTTTACATTAGATTAGAGAAGAAAACAAATTATATATGAATCTATAGTGTCTCATAATTTCCTAAGGTGGCCACAGTGAATTAGGTTAATGGGAAGCTGAATCTATATAATGTCATAATCCATATTTATATTGTACCATAAATGTATGACTTTTGTAGAAACAAACAACCATAACACCAAACATCTGGATGAAATCTGAAAATTTCAGTGACATATCCAGATATCTCTACACATCTGGAATTTTTAGATTTAATGTTCCAACTGCTTCCATTTTTGTCTGGGCACTTGAAACACTGTAGACACTGTCTAACAAATATTTATTCACATCATAAAGATGTGAAAACATGGAAAGAATCATTGTACAAATACAATTTTCAGATTTAATCATATTCCAGTGACTAAAGTGGCTCTGGCAGTTAATGTAGACAACCCAATGTCAACAGGCCCTGCAGACTTAACCAAGTAGTTCAGCGGCAAAGTGGGGAGTTGAAGTGAAGAATTCAAACCAAGAATGCTTTAAGGTAAGAATGAAAAAGAAAGAAAAGAAAGCTTCTCCACTTCTGCCTGCAAGGATAGACATATGTCTGCCTGCCAGTGGGGTCCCTCAGCTAGTTCCAAGCCACCAGTGAACTCTGCTCTGCAGATCTGCAGCTGTGCGTTGAGGTTGGTGGTGCTTGATGGAAGGAGTATAGGGATAGAATACATTGCATGACTAACAATTGAAACCCTATTTAT